CTCCTCAGCCACAGGGCATGCAGGCAAAACATAAATCTTTTTAAAAAAAATAATTAAAAAATTTTTTTTAAAGTCAGCATTTTAATCTTTCTATATTTTAAAGAAAAATGAAGTAAACACAGCTCCATTCATTTCCCCCTCCTCATTTACTTATTTTTAGGATGATGTCATAATTCTTACCTTTGCAGCTAAGGTCTTCAAACTGTCTAGGAAGCGCTGCCAGAAATCTTTGAAGAGCGGGCGGTCAATCTTCTTCAGGCTGTCTTTGGTGCTAGCATCCACGCTCACATACAGCTGAGTAACTGGTCTGAGGTTCCTTGGTAATGAAAAAGGAAACGAGAGAAAATAATGCCTACATCAGGAATTTCACAATATAAAATCTATAGTCTGTAAGAGACAACTCAACGTTGTACTGGTCTAGAAGTGTCCACTTTGCCAACTTATCCAAAGCAACTATTTTGTTTTCTTTTTGGCAAAGCTTGGAATGGAAGCCAAGGCCATGTACAGATAGACAAGCACTCTACCACTGAGCCCAGTCCACAATGATTTTATGATGTGACACAATGGGAAGTCTCTGTTTCTTAAATGCCTGGACATGGAGCCTAATAAGCTGAAGCATCACATTAACTATTTGAAGCTGGCTCATCTTTGGACACTAGGTTTCAATGGAAAATAAAAGAAATGAAACCTAGCTTGAGTCCTGCAGCCATGCTGTAGCATGGTTAGACAGGCTTTCCTCATGAGGTCTGTCATGTACTCATACAGGTGGGAACTGGTAACTGTGTAGTATCGGGATCACTGGAGGAATCTCCATGGGACAGGAAATGGCACCCAGTCCACACACCTTATGTGAAGAGTACAGAGCCACACCCACGCTTGAGACACCAGACAGCTCACCTGATTTCCTCAGGGAACTGTGCATTGGTGACAAGGAAACTGGAGATCCCATGCTGGTGGAGCAGCTTCAAAAGTCGGATCTCTGGGTACATTATGGGCTCCCCAACAAGTGACAATGCACAGTGCTTGACCTCCATCCCCTCTTCAAACCGCTCTGCCTTGAGCCCTGGCACACCTGAGAGTGCAGGGAAAAACAAAGTCAGAGCAAGGCTTAGATACAGAGAGTGCCACTTCCACATCCACCAATGATGCTTTGACTTTAGAGGGAAAATCCTTTTCTATTTTTTTAAACAGGGGCTCACTTTGTAGCCCAGGCTGGCCTGGAACTCTCAGTAATACTCCTTTCTCAGAGCTGAGATTACAGGAGTAAGCCACCACACCCACCTTAAAACTCAATTCTCACCAGGCAGGTGGTGACCCTCACTGTTAATCCCAGCACTCAGGAGGCAGAGGTAGGCGGATTTCCGTGAGTTCAAGGCCAACCAAGTCTACAGAGCTTAGTAAAGATGTCTAAGTTCCAGGACAGTCAGAAATACATAGAGAGACCCTGTCCCCCCCCCAAAAAAAAAACAAAACAAATATAACAATATTTTTTCCCATGAGACCCACTCACTAAGAACTAGTTATTGTGACACCTTTATCCTAGTTTACTAAACATCACATTAATTATGATTAGGTAGGGAGATGGCAGTCAATAAAATGTTTGCTAAGCAAGCGTGAAGACCCAAGTGCCATCCTAAGAACCCCTGTAAAGAAAATAGCCTGAGACCAAAAAATAAAATAAAATAAAGGCTGGGTGAATTGGTATACACCTTTAATCCTAGTTCTCAGGAGCAGAGGCCAGGTGGATCTCTGTGAGTTTGAGGTCAGCCTGATCTACACAGAGTACATTCCAGGACAGCCAGTGCTACATAGTGAGACCCTGTCTCAAAAAACAAAAAACAAACCCAACCCCCCCCTCAAAAAAAAAACAGGGTGCTGTCTCATTAGGTATTATGGAAGAAGAGACAGGTGGATGCCTAAGGCTCAG